CATCATCTTTAGCTGTGTTTCTCATACCATTTCTTTTATTGGTGGAGTAATACTGATCCAAGTGGCGAATTACTGAAATGGTTTATAAATAGTGACTGCTGATGAATGACATCCTTTCTATTATTTCTAACCAAAGTGAATGAATGTTTGTACTTTAACCCACAAAACAAAATTATATTAAAAAGAACTTATAAGAATATGTATTTAAATAATGAATATGTTAACCTGCATAACATAACCTATATTTCATGGGCTGCTGTGGTGTTAGCTGGGCTAAGGTGATGTCATCAAGTCACCATGTAAATGTGTTCTGGGCTGTTCTGTAGTGAGACATAGGAAGTCTTATGCAGCTGTAATCTTGCATTCGGAAGTTAGTGAATCTTGATGTTTCACGGCGAATAGTCAAAGTTCGCCACACCCACCTGTTCTGTCGAAGCTGGTCGGGGTTGGAATCCTCAACACACCAACATGTCTTCTGTCTCTGGGCACAGTTTCATGTTGACGAGGTCAAAGGGGTCAGATAGCGACCGTTCACAGTAAAACATGACACTTCCTTTTCTCAGGGGGCGTGGCCTAAGTGATGTCATCATTCGACCATAGGGTATTGTAGGACACCCGATGATGATCAATCACAGTAACTTTGCTGCCTCTGTGAGTTTCTGTGTAGGAGATATAACAGTTTATTTTTTTATGGCGAGTAGGTGAACTTTGACCCCTGCTAACCCCTCTTCAGCATACTCAAAAACTCACCGTTTTGATAACTTTAGATGGGACATGCCTTATGAACAGACTGACCGAGTTTGAAGCCGATCAATTGAAATCCCTAGGAGGAGATAGATCAAATACGAAGGCTGTAAACGGCAAAAATGGGGTCAAAATTGGAATTTCAATCCAAAATGGCCGACTTCTTGTGATACTTGCACTATGACATTAATTGTAAATTTTGAGTGTCTTGGGGAGCTCTACAAGTGTACCAAATTTCATGTCTCTACGATGAAATAAGGGAATAGCAAAGGGTCCTTTGAAAATTGCTAGGTTGCGGCGTTGAGCCATTTCTTTTGCAACAACCATAAAATACGAACATTTTAAAGAGGCTTAAGGCCACCGCCAAGTTTGGTGAGTTTTTGAATATGATAAAGCCCCCAAAAAGCCAATTCATTTGGTGGGAGAGTCGTAATAATAAGAAACAGCAAGAAAACAATAAGCCGTCGCAGCGCTTAGCTGCTTGGGCCTAAATATGTATCTTGATAACAAATTTATCCCAATAAATGACAATATGATATATACCCACCACTTACTATTATCATATGTCTGAGATTGTCTAATTGATTGTTTTTTTTTTCTTTCTTTCTTTTTTGTAGAGTGGAGTTGATATTGAGCAACAGATCCGGCATCTTTCTCAGCGGAAAGATAAGCTTCTTCTGAAGCTGGAAGAAAATCTTTGCAAATTTCAGTCCTCCAACTCTCAAACCAAGACTCCGGCACATATCAGACAACGGATGGAAAGTAAGGTGAGCACTGGACAAAAAAAACTCCACTTCATCTAAATTTGGTTATTTTCCTTACTTCTTGTCTTAATAAGATTTGCCTAATTCTTCAGAACAGGAAAAATGGACACATAAAATGAAAGATGTTAGAATTAAACTGTTGTGCATTTATTGGTTAAGATATTAACCAGTATATATCTTAACCAATAAGATTGAATGTGGTCTGTGGAAGAACCACAGTGCTGGTTCGGTTGGTCGGTTGGACGTCAGTGCAGCTTTTGACACTGTTCCCCATGACATATGACTGAAACTCCTGGAGAATGGGGTGGGACTCTCCCGTCCTGTACTCAGTTGGTTTGAGTCTTGCATAAGGAAGAGGGATTCCTTTGTTTCAATAGGAAACTTCTCATCAAAGCAGACAGAAGTCACATGAGAGGTCTCTCAAGATTCAATTTTTATTCATTTTTTAACAAAAACAAAACTGAATTTATAATATGTTTATATGTAAAATAAAAACCCAATGTTCTTTTTTTTATTTAAATTTTTTGTGACACAAAAGTTATCATTTACATTTGAGTAATATTTTCCAAACATTGTATTATTTATTTATATATTTGTTTGTTTGTGTGTTACCTGTATTAGGATAAATATGGCTGTTTAATCTTCTAAGTTTGAATAGTAAAAGATTTAAATTAAAAAACATTGGTTTTGATGATACTGATGTTAAGTAACAGTGACTGGAGTCAGGGTTCAGTGTACTTAGGTGAGTTCTTGTGCTTCGTAGTTTATTACCCACACAAAAGTGCGTACATTTTTCACAACTGTTTTATTTTTTGTCAATTTTTTACATGTAAAATCCTGGACATTAAAATAATTAGTTTTCTATCATGTGGACATGTCTGTACTTGAGTTGTGATTGTGATAGTTAATTTTATGTATATTCTATCACCTTCAGGTTTCAGTTTTGAAGCAGGAATTAAAGACCATTGAAAATCAGATAAAAGTTCTACAGGAGAAAGAGTCGATGGGATAACTACAGCTGAAGGCCATGCTGGAACCTTGGAGACATCAGAGCTTGTCTATTTATTCATACTGCTGCTTGAGTCAAAAATGTCTAAAGTATCTTGCGTTTGAGCACTGCAAAACACAGCAAGAAAATTATGGGTTTGTACAATTATAATGTGATACTGTGTAAAAAGAAAAAAAAACAGCCCTCATGCTAAGGAACTTACTATAAGTTGTAAATAAATATAAATATTCAATCCATTCTAGATGGTGTAGTAAACGTTTGTCATTCTTCACTGCCTATTGCAGCTAGTGGATGAGCCTGAACATGGCCTTTATACAGAGATGGAAAGTAACTAATTACTTTTTCTCACATCACTGTGGAGAAGTCATTTTTGTTTGTGCTTTGCACTTTTTAAAACCTGAACTTTTACTAGAGTTTTTGTGTAAAATATTTGTCAGTTACATTGAAATCATATGTTAATGTGTACAAATAAAATAAAATAAAACTCCAGAAAAAACAGCACTGATCCTTCTGCTATGTTAGTTATATTTCATGATGATGCATCAACTTACTAAGTGCTTAAGTCAAAAGATGTTAAAGAAGCATGCTGAGCTGATCAGCTGTAGAGAATCATAAGGACAGTTGGATTTTGATTTAAAAACAAACAATTTTATGAGAAAACACCAAAACAAAACAATGCAACTCCTAATCAGTCACACCTTTGTGGAATCAATGTCAGATGGATAGTAACACTTTTTTGATTCAATTTTAACTTGCTGCTAAAATTGAACACAAAACAGGTGGAAATGAGAGAAAGTTAGCACATCAATCTTTATAAAAGAGTGATTCTGCAATTGGTGACCAAAGATTATTTCTCTGTTCTCATCCTTTCTGGTTGACCTTTTAGTCACATTTTCATTTTGTTGGAGAAGTGCACCAACAGTCAGGTGCACTGTGCACCTGACTGCACTGTGCATCTGACTGTTGCTCCCTGACAGTTGCAAAAGTCACCTGACAGTTGACAAAAACAATCTAATACATCTGCAGACGGAGAGCAAACATACACTGGATTAGGCACAAATTAAGATCCGCTCTGACGAACTCAGAGTTGCATAGTTACTTTATTCATCTCTATACTACCGAGGCAGAGACTGAATCTTCTAAGACCAAACAAAAGAAACAAAGGAAAACATGCGGAACCTTGTATGCTCATTCACTGTAATGTCTACGGGATGTGAAAACTACACACTCTATCTCCATAGAGGGAAGGCCACGGGAAAAACAGCGAGTTCCCAAATAACTGTCTGGGGAACTTACTTCAGTAGACACATCTTGTTTCATTAGTTTGTACACCTTTCCCAGCTGCACAGAAAAACACCTTGACTGTGATTAAAAAAACATTACATTTATATGATACATAAAAGAACACCATTTAATACAAATAAAACTTCTTCACAGTGCTCTCACGCATCAAGGCATCATGAGGTGTTTTTTACAACCCACTGAAGTTGCTCAAGTAGTACAACTAATCCAAGTTGGAGCTCAATGCGAGCAGTGGTCAAAAGATTTGTTGCATCTCTCAACACAGTGTCCAGCGCATGGATTAGGTGCCAGGAAACAGGCCAATACAGGAGAGATTCCATTGGAGGGCTTCCAGCAGCAGGACCGCTACCTTGTCCTTTGTGCAATGAGGAACAGGAGGTCCACTGCCATGGCCCCACAAAATGATGTACATGTTTGTACTCAAACTGTCAGAAACAGGCTCCGTGAGGTTGGTATGGGGGCCTGACAGCCACATATAGGCCCTGCGCTTGGAGCCCAACACCGTGCAAGGCGAATGGCATTTCCTAGGGAGCAACAAAATTGGTAGATTCGCCATTGGCACCCTGCTCTTCACAGATGAAAGCAGGTTCACACTGAGTATATGTGACAGTCTGAAGACATTGTGGAGAACATTATGCTGCGTGCACCATCCTCCAGCATGACTAGTTTGGTGATGGGTCAGTCTGGTATAGGGAGGCATTTCTTTAGATGGCTGCACAGCTCTCTGTGTGCTAGCTGGAGGTGCCCTCATTGATGCTCTAATCCTGGTCTGGGAAGAAATCTGTCTCATCAGGAGCATGCCCAGGCATTGTGAGGAGGCTATACAGGCACATGGAGGCTACACACTACTGAGCCTCTTTCAGACTTGACTTGAGGACCATTCAGTAACGTAGAATTATGTTATTTTTCACTTTGATATTGAGTATGAATCCAGATCTTCATGGTGTAATAATTTACGATTTACATTGATTATTTTTGTTCACAATCAATTCCACTGTTCATAAAGTCTTTCAACTCGAGAATGTTCGAGTTCTAGGATGTTATGTTAGAGTTTAGTTTTGAGTTGTTTTTTTGTTTTGTTTTGTTTGTTTGTTTAAGCTTTTTTTTCTTTCTTTTTTTAAGGATTCATCCACTCGAAACTACTCGGATGAATTCGGTACTAACCGGTCATCAACCCGGAAGTGTAGTTTCGGCTAGTAAGATGCTGTCGCCATACATCAGCGACAGGCGCCTGTGAAAGAGCATCAGGATAGAAAAGCAAAGGAACCGGTGCAAGAGACAACGGGAAGCCTTTTTTAAAAAATAAATTGTTGCATTGCGACCTTTTTGGATTTAAAACACAGTAGCAGTGGAGCCTCAGTCCCTGAGCAGACACTTTAGTAGCAACAGTTCTGGGAAGAGGAACCAGGAACCCCGGGCAATATTGGTGTTGGGCTGTGAAGGTGCGAGTGACCTGAAAGCTTCCGTGACAACGTCCAGATATGTGCTGTGATTGGAAGGCTGACGTTGGGAAGGGGCGGCTCGACTCATTGATAGCTAGCTAAACAGCTAGCCTCCTGGTGCTTCAGCCTCCTGGTGCTTCAGCCGAATGAGCCTCAGGTCGCGCTGCAGAGTCCTCTCTAACAACAAGCCAGATGTAAGTGGGGTGAGTTTGCTGCATTCATGTGTTCAGCTTGAACAGGTTGGGAACGAAAGAAAATTCTGCCTCTGTTCAGTGCTACTTATCAAGCTAACAGCAGGTGAGGTTTGACGATCCTCACATGCATGCTGAAAAGAGCGCTGCAGTCAGTGAGTGTTTGACTGAACCATGTGATAGTCCCTGTTATATATTTGAGGATAACACCAAGCGGATGCGCTGCTCAGAGTAAAGGTACATAAATGAACAAACAAAGTGAGCAACGTCGGCCGTCAGTACTAATCACCCAGGACTGTTAGTGAGGACTGGCTGGAATCAGCTGTGGGATCCAACCGGTCAGGTCCACGTTGTTGTCTGGAGGGAGGAGGAAGGAGGAGGAGGAGAGAGAGAGAGGAGGAGGAGGAGGAGGAGGAGGAGAGAGAGAGGAGGAGGAGGAGAGAGAGAGAGAGAGGAGGAGGGAGGAGGAGGAGAGAGAGAGAGAGAGGAGGAGGGAGGAGGAGGAGAGAGAGAGAGAGAGGAGGAGGGAGGAGGAGGAGGAGGAGGAGAGAGAGAGAGAGGAGGAAGGAGGAGGAGGAGAGAGAGAGAGAGGAGGAGGGAGGAGGAGGAGAGAGAGAGAGAGGAGGAGGAGGGGAGGAGAGAGAGAGAGAGAGGAGGAGGGAGGAGGAGGAGGAGGAGGAGGAGGAGGAGAGAGAGAGAGAGGAGGAGGGAGGAGGAGGAGAGAGAGAGAGAGAGGAGGAGGGAGGAGAAGGAGAGAGAGAGAGGAGGAGGGAGGAGAAGGAGGAAGGAGAAGGAGGAGGGAGGAGGGAGAACAACAGTGTCAGCTGGTACAGTTTGAGTGAGGAGGAATGATCCGACCCGGTTCATGGTTGTCTTCTGTTTAGTGTGAAGCTTTATTAGCATCAGGAGAGAGCTGTCCTGCAGACTTCAGGTATGCTAGCTATTATTTCGTAGCCGTAAACTTGACGTCTTCGTTTGCTTGGCCCTTTTATTGGACGCATTAGTTCCTTAAGAGGTTTTGCCTTCAAATTGTTCAGATGCTTTGTTGCTAAACAAAGTTGTTCTTTGCTACATGTGGTTTTAGACTGATTTTCACCCAACGATTCAATTTGGCAATTTATGTTAATAAATTAGATGTGGATAGGTCAAAGCAACATGCAGTCAACTGTAATGTATGGAAAGAAATCAGAGAAATCGACTCTCTGGTCCGTCAGTTGTTATAGACGCTTTTTGTTACATTAGATATAAATTATTTACTGGATTGTATCTCCGTGAAAAGGTAGAAAAGGGCAAATCCCACCACTCTTTGCATGTCTGCATAATTTCTGTTACAACAAAAGTGTAAATAAAAAGATTGGTTAATCATGTAATTGATGTGAATTTGGGGGAAATTGTCATGTTTAACAGATCAAACTCTGAATTGTTAAATTTATCTACAGAAAATAAGCTGTTGTGAAGAAGTGACAATGATATTGGATCATTTCAATGGTCCAATCACAGAAGCAAGACACAGAGCGATGTCATATTCTGATTGCAGTGATTATTCTTGTCCCTCTGTAAAAGATTATTGCTGTCCTATATTTGTCAACAGTAATAGGTTTAGGTGTTTCTAATGCTGAGAGGCTTTCTGTGGCAGTCAGTCTAACCTGTTCCTCCACTCACTTCAATCATTTTAGGTAAAAACAGTTTTGAATCAGGACTGTTCTCCATGCGTTGTTTTGAGTCTTCTTGCTGGAGGTGGGCTACAAAGAAAAAAATCACTTTAAAAAAATTGTGCCATTGCTCATCAGCATTATCACATAAAAAAACCCTTTGGTTTGTTTGTCTTGGATTTTATGTAAAGTTAGAAAGCCTAATGTCCCATGTCCCAAAGTTGTTATTTTAGCCAAATATTTTCAGTGATAAATTAGGAATGTAGCTTGATTTAATGATGAACTGGTCAGTGTTCCACGCTGCATAGAATATGGTCTTATAAACTGTTATTTAACAGCTAGTTTTGGGAAAAAAAAAAACTTCAAATTTTACAGCTGTTAATAGCACATAGCAGAATTGTTGAAAGAATAGAATTGTAAAACTACTTTCGAAAAGGAAACTTCTTTGTGGTAGTATTTTTCCCCCATCAGCTGGTTGTAAAAACAAAACGGGAAGAATGTTAAAGGTGACTTCCAAGTAAACAAAGTGTGCAATCATGTCATGTAAAAAATGTGCAAGAACAAACGAAAGCCAGAAGAGTGGAAACAGGAGCAATAACGTTTGTGACTGATCAGATAAAGAAGGAAAACCACCTTGAAAAAAGAAAGGATGGCTCCAGTGGGCTTATCAGAAAGCAGACATCAGCTGTTACTGATTAAATGAAACAGAGATTCTGTGATGAATCTGTATTAATCAGGAAGAACTGACTCATCTGCATTGGTCAAGGCAGACTATTAATTATCATTAATTTGGACAATAAAATCCTGAAGAGTTCTGTTTTTTTTTTTATTCTAGTGTCTGTTGGGGAATAAAACCAATGTCTTGTATTTTATTTCTTATTTTATTAATCAAATATGAGAATGATTTTTTTTTGAGTGGAGGCAGTGGCAGCATCATGTTCTGGAATGTTTTTGCTGCAGGAGGAACCGGTGCATGAGAAAAGACTATTCAATTCTCAACCACAGGCAAATTGCTTCTTTTACTCTATCTTTGTCCTTTTTCTTTGATATTCATTAGACTGAACGTTTGGTCCAATGTTTCAACCAGCCAGGACTCTTTGTGCTTTGAGTTTGCATGTTCTTCCCATGCATGTGTGAATTCTCTGACAACTCCCACTTCCTCCAGGGTGTAACCTTCCCCTGGCCTGAGGGAACATTTTGATGACAAAATGTTTGGTGTTTACATTCAAAAACATCATAGTTATTGGTTGAGTCACAAAAAACAAAAGGACTCAATGTAGAATCGGTTATTGCTTTTTGTGACCTGTTATTGTGACATATTAAAATGTGATATGAACTGTCCTCTTCCTGTTCTGTTTTTCAGGATGACGGTGAGCAGATAACCTCTACTTTTTGACATTTCTTCAGCCCAAGTGGACCCACCTTCCCTTTTTCTGAAAGCCGAGTCCTTTTACCTCTCATTCAATGAGCTCTTCAGGATGTCATGGATTGCAGGAACTCCAGAAAAACATCATGCAAGTTTGTTTTAACTTGACCTTCTGTCCTCCTGATACACTCCTGACAAATAATAAAAAAGAATTAAATGAAAAACCATGTGAGCAGAAATATTATCCCTGTTTGTGTAGTATTGTAACTTTGAGTTGTTGAACTTCTCTTCTGTTGTCATCAGAAATTCCCTACCAACATCATCCATTTTGTCTGGTTTGTAGGCCATGGTTCGCAAGAAAAGTTCTTTCATATTATGTGGTGCTTTCCTGTTTGTTGCCTGGAATGCTTTGCTTCTGCTTTATCTTTGGGGTCGACCTCCTATTGGCCATCTTGGAGATGATGGAGGAGTCGAACCAGGGGGAAAGAAGGAATGGGGTGCTGGAAGGGGTAAAATGGGTCAAATCAACCTTGCAGAAGAGATGATTCGGCTGGCAGAAGAAGTTGAAGTTCATCTTGATACCCAGAAAAAGCTACTAAAGCAGATTGAAATTCACAGAGAAGTGTGGGCTCGGCAGAAGGATCTTGGGAAAAGGGAAACTGGTTCTAATGTCAAAGAAGCAGGAGACCAACTGCAGCCTCAGAAAACTCTAAGACCTCTCAGAAACAGTTTGGATGCTGGGGACCAAACTAATACTCAGAGACCTGTTCATAAGGTAGCACCAAGCTTACCTTTAGAAGAACCTAGTGAAAAAATCAGAAACATTAAAGTGACAACTCCCATTCCCAGCCCAGAATTCATTATTCCCATCCTGGTTATTGCTTGTGACAGAGTCACAGTGAAGCGGAGCCTTGACCGACTCATATCTTACCGTCCTTCCGCAGAACTATATCCAATCATTGTTAGTCAAGACTGTGGCCATGCAGACACAGGTCGTGTGATTGGTTCATATGGAGATCAAGTGACGCATATAAAACAGCCAGACCTTGCTGACATCAAGGTCAGGCCAGAGCACAGGAAGTTCCAGGGCTACTACAAAATCGCCAGACATTATCGATGGGCACTTAACCAAGTGTTCAACACCTTTTCCCAGCCCACAGTGGTCATAGTGGAGGATGACTTAGAGGTGAGCTTTTTGACACATTTTTGCATAACCTACAGGTGTCAAAGTGTAGGCGTTATGTTTGAATGATTCAACTCTGCAACTTGTTCAATTCCAAGAAGAATTCAACAAGTTGCACAGGGCACTGTTGGAAAAAAAATACTCCAACCTACTTCTGTACAACTTTAATGTTACTGACTGAATTGAAGCCCAAGCAATTCCTATATTGATTATTTGGAAATTACTGACAATGACCCACATAGTTGAAGTGTACTTAACTCATACAAATACAAAGTTAATGCCATATGATCATTGAAGAAAGTCTCAGAATTTTACTGGTTGTAAAAGAACTAATGTTGCTTTAGAATTATTGAGGTTAAACAGACGCCTTTGCTGATTATATTTATCTGTTTGTACAGCATTCCTTCTAAGAAAGCTAATGTGCATCTCTTCTCCTATTCAGGTGGCACCAGACTTTTTTGAATATTTCCGGGCCCTGTATCCCATTTTACGCTCTGATCCCACCCTATGGTGTGTTTCGGCTTGGAATGATAATGGCAGGGATGCTTTGGTTGATCCTTCCAAAGCCGAGCTCCTTTACAGAACAGACTTCTTTCCTGGTCTGGGCTGGATGCTGCTGAAGGAGTTGTGGGATGAACTAGAACCAAAATGGCCTTCAGCCTTCTGGGATGACTGGATGCGTCAACCTGAACAGCGCAAAAACCGCTCCTGTATAAGACCGGAAATCTCCAGAACTATTACCTTTGGCAGGAAAGGGGTCAGTTTAGGTCAATTCTTTGACCAATACCTGCGCTATATTAGGCTCAACACTGAGTTTGTGCCTTTCACCAAACAGGATCTGTCTTTTTTGCTAAAACAGAAGTATGATGAAATCTTTGTTCAAGAGGTTTATAGTGCCACCTTGGTGAAGATTGAAGATCTTCAGCACGGGGGTAATTTAAAAGGACCTGGACCGTACAGGGTGCAGTACTCCAGCAGAGATAGTTTTAAAGTCTTTGCTCGAAATTTGGGGGTGATGGATGACTTAAAATCTGGAGTTCCTCGCACAGGTTACAGAGGGATAGTCAGCTTCTTACACCGTGGCCGAAGGGTCTTCTTGGCCCCACCAGAGGGCTGGACACAGTATGACATCAGCTGGAGCTGAGAGTCGCCCAAAGTGTACAGTGAATTTTATTAAAGACTAATGCTCTCTGAGACCAAAGAATATTTGACACATTGAGGGCAACACAAGTGGGACTGCTCATCAATGAAATAAGATAGTGGTGATCCTTTTCAACAAAGGATTACCTAAAGGTGTCCCCTAAAGGAAAGCCTTTAGGGGAAAAAACTAAACTGGTTTAAAAACACTTACTGGCAATGTGCCTTGTTTTTTGGACCCTGGTTGTTCTTGGGTTCAGTTCTAAATGAGAACTTCAGCAGGACTTACCAATATTATTTGCAGTAGTTGCAGGTAGAAGGAAGAACTCAGTGCAAATAATTCTTAATGTGGGAAGAGACACGAGAGAAACTCAAATGTCAGCATTTGGAAAACGAAAATATCTGAAATGACTTCTATTTTCTTCATTTTTGCTCTTGAAAGAATGATCCAATTCAGACTCTGTTACTTTGGGAGTCCTTGACACTAACTCTAATTGTATTTTTATTTTTTTTAATTTAAAATCAAATGGAATAACTGCAAGGTTTTAGGTTATAAAAAAATAAATCAATGTTGAGCAAGGCTATTTTTCCTTTTGAAGTCCACTAGTTTACACTACTTATACCCAGACATAAAGAAATGTGCTGAAGAAGTAGTAACACTAGCAGCAGTAAATTGGGACTAAAAATACTCAACAGGCCTACATTGCACTCTTCTGGAATTCTGCAGATAAAGGAAGAAGTACTTTGAAATGTGACTATTGATGAATATGTCTGACCAAAATTGTGTTAATTTTCCCAGACTCCAGTATGAAAACAACACTGTAATATAAAGTATCTGATCCTATTTCAGGCCTACATGTTCACATGTTGAGTTAGTGAGTAGTTCCAAATCTGAAGACCTATTTTTCAAGTGGACATTGTCTCAGCCTGTTTCTACAGGAGACTGCTAATAACCCCTTCATTCAAATCAGGTATGTTGAAGCAGGAAAAAATCTGAAAGTTCCAGGACCAGGAGTCTTGCCAGCAGCCCCTGAGAATCAGCCCTGATTCTTAGCACAAACTCCCAAACATTTATCAAATGTTTTCCTGCTTCAACAAGCATGATTTTAGTTGGTGATGGATTAGTTGGAGACTTCTTTAAGATTTGATGACAAGCTTGTTTTAATATGTTTGTGTTGGAGCTGGGGAACTTCAAAAACACCAAGGACACTAATGCGGTTACCTAAGCAGTAGTGTTGAGAACTACTGGAATGGATACTTATGCCATAAAAATTACAAGGATTTCATTTTTTTTAAAAATGTATTTTACTCGACCAGCAGCAACTAAAAGGATGTTCTTGATGCGGTGATAATCTATTTCAAATCATTGAAATGGATAATTAGGAATTATTTGTTGAAATGAAATACCATATTAGATCAGGAGTGTGTCACTGGATGAATAAATAAAATGAGGTGCTGGAAATAGGTTTTAAAGAGGATGTCTTGAATTAATTATTTAAAACTGCACGAGACTCGACCGAGCTGGATCAGATCATCCTGTTCATGTACATCCTGAAATGAGATGAATTTTTACAATGACATCTAAACTCTGGTTTTTGGTGTTTTAGGTTCCATGTAAATCCAACAAATGTTTGTCTTGCAGCAAACTGGAGATTATTATCACTGTACTGTAATTAACTTTGGGTTATTAGAATACCATTTCTGTACGGTGATGTGAAAAACCACTGCCGGAACTGTTTATAACTTTATTACAGAATAAATTAAATCAAATATTTTTATATTTGTGTACTTACTGAAGACGTCTCATCTAATTAATATTACTGAACTTAATGTTGTGTTCTTATATTCATTTGTTGTCACAGTGAAAAAAACAAAAGATCAGACTGATATATTCCACATAAATACAGATGACCAAAAGCTTATTTTCTTGCAGTCAGAGCAAAAGTAACAGGATGGACTTCATCTGATACAAAAAGCATTTGATCTGTAAATAGATAGATAGATAGGTAGAAAGATAACGTGCTCATAAGTTTACACACCCTGCCAAAATGTATAATAACTTGAATTTTGTCTGTTCAGCTGGAGGACGTTATGGCACATCCACGCATTTATCTGTTCTAAGCATCTGTTCAGTGTTTGATTATTTTCTGTCACCTAGTGACATAATGTAGAGCTGTGAATGACCTGCATAGTTATGGTAGCTAATCTTATTTCCTGTTATAACTTGATGAGTGAGAGCATATAGATATTAAATAATAAGTGTCCTAGGATTGAGCTTTGTGGTACCCAAACAAAAGTCACCACAAGATGACATTTATCAGGTGATTTCTGTCTGCTTTGATGAAACAAAGCAGACTTTGAAACAAAGAAATCTCAGTTCTTTATGTAAGACTCAAACCAGTTGAGTACTGGGCTGGAGCGTCCCACCCAACTCTCCAGTCATTTCAGAAATATGTCGTGTCAAAATCTGCACTCAGGTCCAACAGAACATTATATTAAATAATGATAATGGAGGAAGTGGCTTGAGGTCAAAGACAGAAATTCAGATGATTGAATTTCTTTCAATCATTTTCTTCAATCATTATTCATCCATTGATAATAAATGGATAGAGCCATAAACTCTGTTTACTGTATTTATTCTTTTTAAATCATAATAATAACAGAAACTACACAAGTGACCCTGGTCAAAAGTTTACATACCCCAGTTCTTCATAACGTGTATTGCTCCCTATAACATCAATGTCAGTTTCCTGTGGTTGTTGTGGGTCAGGTTGTTTATTTCCTCTTAATGGTAAAACTGATCCTTCCTTTTGACAAATAGCTTCCAGTTTCTGTAAACTCCTGTGTTGCATGAACTACAGTTCAGTTTTATGGATGCAGTGCTAATTCACAACAAATGTCATCTAATGCACTTTACAAAAGAAAAATAAAAAAATTCAATTCAATCAAGCATACTTTGATTTGATCCTAGTTGTCAAACAGGACGTTTAATTAATTCTTCAAAGTGGACTAAAAAAACCCCAACAGATTGTATGAGTCATTGTCTTTATGCATTCACTCCTTCTGGACAAACATGTAGACAATCAACTGCAATGTATGGCTGACTTTCAGCAATCCCTCATACCGAGCTTGTATGGTGTGACAGTGGGGAGGAAACTCCCTCCTTTAATTTCATCCTATTTGATGATTGCTTTGAATATGACCATATATATGAATAAATGAAACAATTTGACCAGGAACTGTAGAAAAACAGACGGAAAACAACTTAAAACCAGCTGTTTTCTTTATTTTCTGTCATCTTGATGTCACATGCAGACCTGTTGCCATGGCAACTGACAGATCCAGGTGCCCACAGAGCAGAGATTATGTTCAAGTGTGTCAGAAATTAACATTAAAAAACACAAAAACATTTCCCACACCAAAATCCATAAAAACACACACAAAAAAAACATTCACTCTTTTACAGTTTTATGTTTTTTGAGTTTTCAGGCTTGATGTTTGTTTTTGTGATCACTAATAAGTGATAGCCTGAACATTATTGATTTTCTAATAAACACCTGCTCTAATAATAAAATGTCAGAAAGTAGATGTGTGGGTCGCCTCACTTTTGTGTTAACTGAATCGAAAGACATCGAACTGCATGACACAAGTAGATGTTGAGGTTGTGAATGTAGTTGAGCCACTGAGGAGTATTTAGCCTCCTCTTTACTTTCTTTATACATTTTCTGAAGTAAATGTTTTTACTGACCTGTGAAATGTGCATCGCTTGGACCTTACCTTGCTGTCATAGCGTTGACAGTTAATAGTAAAACATTGTGTCCCTTTTTCAGATTCTTTGCTTGTGCCATTTTCCGGGTCGCCGATATTCCCTCAGCAATAATGCATGTGGCGACTGCTGCGCACATTAAGTCACTAATATAGATCAATGATACATTTTACAAAGGAATTTTAAAAAGCGGTCGTTCACTGGCTGTTAATGTTTGAACAGTGTCCACAAATAGATACAGGCACATTAAGGTAAAAAGGTGCACTAAATATTGGTGGGGACTGTCTCTGTCAGGCCGAAACAGGTGAGGGCTTGTCCACACCAGTCCTACAGAAAGTTATGCCTATGAAGAAACCTCCAGCAGAACCAGAATCTAGCTTAGTATAAGCACCTATCTGCCTCGATGGACTGGAGATTTGAGAAGGCAGAGCAGAATGGATTAGATTATACTGCAATGTTGAGCTGCTCTTCAGAAGCTGCAGCTGGTTACAAGTCAACTTGGCCTTTTGTTTTAGATCATTGTTATTCCTGCACATAAATGAGTTGGAACTTCCACGTACATGCAATGTGCAGCTTCTGGGCCCATGAGTGCTAATTTTCTTCCAGTATTTTCTGCTGACATGACACTATAATTTTTGATGGTATTTCCTGTGCCTCAGTAGCTCTCACATTCCCAAACCATCAGTGGTCCACCACCATGCTTCACAGTAGGTGCACTTTTCATTGTTGACTCCTTTGCAATTGTAATGTTTATGGTTGTGGTCAAACAGTTTAATTTGGTCTCAACACTCCAAGTAACTTTGCTCTAGAAATCTTGAGGCTTTTGTCTGTGCTGTTTTTTGTATATTGTAAACAGGATACTTTGTGGCAAAGACTTTCTTCTGGCAACTTGGACACGCAACCAATTTTTTTCCAAATGCCTCCTTACTATGCATTTGAAAATGGCCACACCACTTTAGTCAGCGAATCCTCTATTTCAACTGAAGTTATTTGGGGTTTTTCTTTTCCTCTTGAACAATGATCCTAGCAGCTGTTCACCTCTTAGAGATTGAACACTGCTGGTTGGTATTCTCAGTTCCTTGGATGTCTTTTTATGTTCCTTTCTTGTTTTACACAGGTGTAGTGGACCTGTGTGCAGTGTGAGTGACCAGTGTTGGGTTTTCTTCACGATCGAGTGTCTATTTGCAAGTGCTTGGAGTGATTTAATTGTTTTAGAAACCAGCTCTCCACATGTAGGTGGACTACCTTCCTCCTGCTGGTAGACCTCAGGACTGCATTTCCCTTCCCATTATGGTTCTATAAATTTCAGTTGTCTTTTGAAACATGGAACATAGCTATTTTTTTTGGTGGCAAACTCTTGTTCTCATTGGTCACAAACCTTACGTGCCTTACTTGGGTACAATTCCCAAGTGGTGTTACAGAAACCTTCTGGTTCCCCTGCTTTGAGGGACAGAGTTTCAGATTTATACCCTTGTACTACCACACAAGCAAACGGATCACAGGCGAGGACGGTGACCTTTCATAGCCATTCAAACTCATTTGTCAAATTGTGTGCATGTTATGAGTCCAAAATCACCCGCGTATGTAAACAATATATCAGGGTCAAATGGGAGTTTCTTCTGTCATTATGATTTAAAAAGCGTTTGATTATTAATGGTTTCAAAAAAATGTTTCTCTCTTATAATTCATCTTCTATTAAAAAATGGCCAAAAAAGAAACAGAGTATGTACCTTATGAGCATAACAGGCAGACAGATGAATGCTCTATTAATCCCATGTGGAAAATTGTTTTGTTGCAGCAGCTATAAGTGAAGTTATTCAATGTATGCATAAGGCTTCAGAGCAGTATGTCTCTACTGGACATGTTGGAGCTGTTAGGCTTCTGTCTCTGGTTTGTAACAGAGACACAACAGAGGACAGTTCAGTAAAATCAAAGGTTTTTTTAAAATTTATTTTACTTTATTTTTAGATGCGTTCCCAGAAAGATTTGAATATACACAAGTTTCTTAAAGTGGAAAAAACAATTTCTGTTATGCAAAATAAGCTGAGACCTCTGCTTCCTTTTTGATTAGTTGCTTCCTTTTCTATATCCTGTTTCACAAACATGTTCAGGAAGGCTCACAAAAGTGCTAAATTTGCCTGTTTCAGGTCACACGGTCCTAACCAGTGACTTAGCAAATAATTTAAACAAAAGACTGGGAGGATCAGTTCCTTGCACAAACAGCAGAATGTCAACACAGCAAAAAAACAAATGCAGATTCAGTGTCTCATTAGAGCAGTGGTCTCAAGCTGCATTTCTCGAGCTCCAGAGTCCTGCAAAATTTCAATAACTCCCTTGTTCTATGTTAAATAATAAAACTGCTTCACTAGTATTACTGGTATACTAGTAATACTCTACAAAACTTTGGAAATAAGCTGCTGAAGCAGAGAGACATCTACAGGTTGCAGGAGACCGTCCCATTCTGTGTGTGCTCAGAGAAACAGCTTGGGAGAAGAATCTCTGTTGGTCAAGGCTGGTTTCTATAAATAGTAATCTGACGCTCTAAACTCCAGTCCTCGAGGGCCACTGTCCTGCAGTTTTTTGATGTGCCACAGGTACAAAACACAGGAATGGCTTAATTACCTCCTCCTTGTGTAGATCAGGTCTCCAGAGCCTTGCTAATGATCTAATTATTCTATTCAGGTCTGGTGCAGCAGAGGCTCATCTAAAAGTTGCAGGACATCCAGGACTGGATGTTGACACCCCTGATCTAAAATGAAGGCAGAAGCCTGAATTGTTTGTGTACAGGATGTATGGGGTCTGCAATGATTTCAGTTGCCCCTGTTCCTGAACTTTGACCTGTACAAGTTCTGGATGTAGGATAAGTCAACATCCCACCTTTCCCCAAAAGCTAAGGAATTTTATTTTAGGGTGCTCTCTGTACTGCTGTTTTATTACTGATATTTTTTCTGTGACATGTCATTGAATCAAACAAATTCTGTTCCACCCGAATAAGCAGACAAGCCCATGTAAGGACCCCCTGCAGTTTGCTTATCATGTTGGAGTTGATGATGCACCTTCTTCAACAAACCCACTGTCATCTGGACAAAGCAGGCAGGGCTATGAGGGTCATGTTCTTTGATTTCTGCAGTGTATCTAACACAATGCAGCCTGATCTGCTCTGTGAGAAACTCCAGAAGACACAGGAGGAGGCCTCAACAATCGCCTCGATCTATGCATGACTTTCTAACAAACAGACCACAGTTTGTGGGACTGAGGGTGTAACCAGGTGGTCAGCAACACAGAAGCACCACAGGGAACTCTTCTCTCACTATTCCTTTCATTATGTAGACTTCAGACTTCCAGCACAAATCCAACTTCTATCGTCTACAGAAATACTCAGATGACTCTGCAGTTGTTTAGTGTATCAGAGATGGACAAGAGTCATGAGTCTGTTGTTGACTGACATCTTTTCTGTCATCATCTATTGGGGCAACAGCATCAGAACCAGGGACCTAAAAAGCCTCAACAGCCTGATAAAGAAGGCTGGTTCTGTTCTGGTGATAACTGTGGAGCCTCTGAAAATGATTATGCAATGAAGGATTTTTCATAAAATCAAAAAAGATGAGAAAGTCTCATAAAGATCATTCTCTTTATGAGACTGTCTTGAGAAAACAGAGTATCTTCAGTCAGAGACTTCTTCAGATTCACTGTAATGCAGTGAATCCCTTTGGGATTAATAAAGTAATTTTGAATTTGAATGTACAGTAAGCTTTCTAAGATTATTTAATTTCTTTGATGTCAGGTTTCCTCATATCTCAGGACTCTCTGAAAGATATGACTTGTGCTCTTGGATTAATTAAAAATATATACATTTCCTAGATGTAATTATTTTTCTCTTTTTGAATGAATATATTTCAATTCCATGAATCTAAAACTGTACTTCACATATAAGTATATATATTTGTGAATTTCAAGTACATTTTCTTATTTGTGTGACATTTTAGGCCAGTTAAAAATGGGAAAAACTTTAGATTAACTGCAATAAAATTATTTCAGGAGGCTAAAATACATGGTTCCCCCTCGTAACTCTGGCAAATAGTGATGAAATGTTTTCAAACTTACATGATTTGCTGTTGATGATAAGAGGAATAAGCACAGTTCAAGACTTGTTAGTAAATTAATTTGTTTCCATATTTTGGAGGGGGATCGGATTATTTCAGGCAGCTAAAACAGCTAAAATATTCAGTTCCCCCCTCATAATTTTGGCAACTAAGAAGCAAATGTCACCAAATCCACAGGATTCATTGTTGATGATTAGAGGAATAAACACAGTTAAGGATTTGCAGGTAAATTAATGTGTTCCCATTTTATGGAGGCGGAACAGATTATTTTAGTCAGCTAAAATATATGGATCCCCCCTCATAACTCTGGCAAACAAGGAACAAATGCTACCAAAATCACATGATTTATTGTTGATGATGAGCGGAATAAACAGAGAAGAAAACTTGCTGGTAAGTTAAGTTGTTCCCATATTATGGAGGAGGAACAGATTATTTCAGGCAGCTGAATTATCCATTCTCTTCTCTCCTTCCCCCATAACTTTGGAGAATAAAAAGCAACTGTTTCCCAATTCTCAAAAGTTGTTAAATACAAACTACGTGTTGGAAAATTGTGTTTGGTGACTGACTTTTATTTCTGCCAGGCTTTACTGAGAAAAGTTGGAAAAAGAGCGATTCTCTTGGCGTTTAAAATAACACAAAACAGCAGCAGAAGACCTCGTTCATTTATTTATTATACAATTTTTTAATCAACAGCTGCCAATTAAACTGAATGTTAAAACCTTGACATGATCATATGAGTTGTTTTATCGAGAAATTGATCAGAAGCGACGTGAAAATGATCAGATCCGCCATATTCGCCTCTCTGGCTGCAATGCGCGCTCCCGACACAGGGGGGCAGATTTTCACATGGCAACCGAATTTTGTACAAGACCTCTTTTAAACGCCGAAGAAGAAGACGTCTGGCATGTGAAAACAGAAACTTGTGATTGTTCGTGGCTCCTGAGTGTAAAAGGTAAGTTTTACAAATTTATTACAAAATCACAGAGACAACACCTGTCACCTTCTCATGTTTTACACCTTTTAAAGAGATAATGATGCAACTTCAGTCTGAAAGAAAATGTACCACGAACGGTAGCATAACGTTAGATTAGCAGACATCTTCCGGTGTTTTTTTTTTTTTTTTATCAGATTGGGAAACGAAACGGGGACCTGTAGTTATTATCGATCAGTTAAACAGTGGAACATGTCTTATTAGAATGTAAGAAATATTTAGAGGAACGTCAGCATTTAAAGTCAGTTAAACAGAGAAGAAAAGTATTTTCTATAATCAATCTATTATATGTCAAAATCTATTCGAAATCTTAGATTAAAAAAAAAAAAAAACAGGTGTGCATCCATTATACATGATGCTTACTCACACACTCACACACCTTTATGTGTGTTTTGATAAATTCCCTCAGACTATCATTTACGATCACACTGCAGGCCGGTAGGTGGCGGCTGGTTTGGTAAGTTGGTTTGCCATCCGCCAATAAAATACAGTAGTAATCGTAGAAAACTTTCGGTGGTTTAGCAGCAAGGCTTAAATTGATTCTCAGCTGTTAAAACAGAAACAGTTATTTTCTGGAAACGTTGGCCGCCTTGTGACTGAACAAACGTGCTCTTTCCTGTCCTGTAAACCTGGAGCTCTGGTTCTGTTCCGTAGATTCCTGGAAACAGCCACTTCGCATTACCTTTCCAAAGAAAGACATGTCTTGTTCTGCTGGTGACCCAAACTTCTGTCAAGAATGCGGGAATGTTCTCCCGCTCCCCGGAATATCTGACACAGTCCGATGCCCTCGATGCTCCTTCAGCATCCCTGTTACAGGTTTTGTCCTCCTGATTCTGATCAATACATTCATTCTATCTATCTATACATCCACTTCTAAATCAGCTGCTGTCAGAGCCATATATATATATATATATATATATATATATATATATATATATATATATATATATATATATATATATATATATATATATATATATCGAGAGAGAGAGAGAGAGACTTGATTTTGCTTCCTTGTGTTTATTACCCAGACTTCTCTGGCCTGGAAGTCTGTTCAGCTGTGGTGTTTAACCCTGAGCAGCAGTCATTAGTGGCTCTGAAAGATGATAATGGCTCGGAGCTGAAGGGACCTGTGGTAAGACCAGTCTGTTCATAGAGCTCCATGTGGTGACGACAGTTGGAAATGGTTAATTATGAGGTGTTCTGCTATCCTCCAGATTGACAGACGATGTGTTCGATGCAATAAAGAAGGGATGATTTACCACACCAGGCAGATGAGATCTGCAGATGAAGGACAGACAGTGTTCTTCACCTGCATAAACTGCAGGTGACTTCAAGAGACCTTTACATTTCTATACAGCTATGTGATGACTTTTCTCAGTTTTTGTCTTTTATGTTTTAGGTATCAAGAGAAGGAAGACTCCTGACAGAAATATTCCAAGTGTCTACAAGCAAATCTATTTACTAGAAAACACTGCTGTCAGATCCAAGTTATGCTCTGTATCTGGAATCTCACTTCAGAGTCAGGATTGTTGTGAACCAGACTCAACAAACTACTTTTCATGTATGACTTATTTGTGTTGGAAATAAAGTTTACAGTTAAACATTCACATGATGTTTCCTAAATTGTTTTAAGTATGAACATTTAGTAAAGCAATCAATTAATATAAAAGATGTACAAATATAAAAACTTTCAGCAATATCAACATAATAATGTTGGTCTTATGGCTGATAACCAGTATTGTATTGTTTTCCTGACTATATAGAATCTAAGACTAGATCTTTTTCTTTTTTCTTGAGTCAAGCCCAAAATAAATATGTAAAGTAGTTTCCTTTATTTAAATAAGGAAAATATACAAAACCCCTTTAAAGCAGCTTTGGATCTACAATGATACAAAGTACATTCTGTTCCTAAGTAAAGTTTATTTAGAAAGCGCTTTTCTCAGACTTAAAATCACAAAGCGCTGTACAATAGAAATCAACCTTAAAATCATACCAAACATAAAGCCGACATAAGAAGCACAATAAAGTCGAGATAAAAGTGTTTTTTGCTGCTTTTTAAAAACTTGCACAGAGTCAAGGGCATGCTGCTCCACTGCCTTGGGGCCACCAACTGAAAGGCCAGGTCCCCTTTAGGTTTTAATTGTGTTCGTGGAAAAACCAAAAGATTCAGCGTTTGAGAACAAAGACCATGAGCAGCAGAATATTTAGTTAAAAGATGACAAAGGTAATCAGGAGCCTGGCCATGTAATACTCTGTTGGTTGGCACAAGAACTTTATAACAAAATTCTAAAATCAACTGAGTCAGTGTAGTTAGAATAGGAGTGATATGACATCATTTGCTGGATTTGGTGAGAAGTCTGGCTGCTGCGTCTTGTGTTGACTGCAAACATAAAATTGAGAATTTGGCCCGGCAGTTAAAAAGGGTGTTACAGTAATCCAGACCAGATGACAGGAACACATGAATGGTCGACAATATCAAAGGCTGCACTGAGATCTAATAAAACCAGCACTCAGCATTTTCCCTCATCAGCAGCCATTAACAGATCAATATGGACTTTTACTAAAGCAATTTCAGTGAATGAAAATATTTCATTCATAGTTTATTGTTGCAGGAACAAAAAATCTGCAATTACACTTTAGTCGATCATTTCCATCCATCCATCCATCCATCCATCCATCCATCCATCCATCCATCCATCCATCCATCCATCCATCCATCCATCCATCCATCCATCCATCCATCCATCCATCCATCCATCCATCCATCCATCCATCCATCCATCCATCCATCCATCCATCCATCCATCCATCGCTTATCTGGGGTCGGGTCGTGGGGATAGCAGCTTAAGAAGCTGGCAGACACTTCCCTCTCCCCAGCAACTCCAGCTCCTCTGGGGGAATCCCAAGGCGTTCTCAATCCCTCCAGTGTCATTTTGTTCAATGTTACAAATTGATTTGACATCTTGATCTATATTTTATCTATAGGTTTATTTCTTGTCTAATTATTTTTAGTTACTCTAGTTTAAGTTTGCAGGACTGCTAGATTCATTTCCTAGTCACCTGTGATTCTCACTGGCCCCATGTGCCCACCTTCCTGTCTCTCTCTTAGTCTCTTTTTCTTTCTCTCTCAGTTTGCCTTCTGCTCTCTCCCCTCACATCTGGAACATGTTATCTAATCAGCCCAGTTCTGTTATTCCTCCATTCACTCTTCCAGTATTTGATCTCACCTTTTTCATACTTTCCTCACTTCTTCTGTTTCTTCCCTGGTTTCGCTGCATTATACTTGTGTCTTATTTTTGTTTGACTCTGGGTTCCTGTGTTTTTGTAAGTTTGTTTTCTTCAAAATCACCTGCTACATTTACCTCGCTGCATTTGGGTCTAAAAAAAACACGCAACATGACAACAATATTGGAGGAAACATTTTGAACTGAACTGTGGGCTTAATGAAAATACATTTTTCTATAGTGTTTAAATAGACACATATTTATTGCTTCCATGTAATATTAGTTTGCCATCCACCAACAAAATACAAAAGAAGAAGAATATTCATATCTTATGTCGTTTCGTTAACTGTAAGCAGGAAATCAACAAAGCTCGAAAGCATCAGTAGGTGGCGGTAATGCACCTTTAAGGAGGGTTACAAATAGCCAATGAGCAGAAGAAGTAATAGGAAGCCCATTGCTTTTTAATATAATGATTAATAATATTTTTGATAATATAGATTTTAGAATTAGTAAAGCTTTATGGGGGTTTCATTTGTCTTGAGAAAACACAAGTAAATATTTTTCAAAGAAAAGGGTTAATCCTACAGTAGATCTTGGATTATATGGGCAAAAGTTAAAGCAGGTAAATATTGTAAGGTACCTCAGAGTATGGTTTGATGTAAAACTTTCATTTAAGATACATACACAGAAGATTATTGATAAATGTAAAAAAGGCATTCATATTTTGAGATGTTTGTCAGGGAATGATTGGGGGCATCTTTGAAAAGAATATCTGATGTTTTAATTCGTTGTGTTGGACTATGGATGTATTGTTTATAAGTCAGCTGCTAATTATTTGTTATTAGATTTAGATAGAATCCAAGCTGAAGTGCTCAGGAAATGTGGGGCTTTTAGAACGTCTCCAATTCCTGTTCTTCAGGTCATTACCGGAGAAATGCCACGAGACTTAAGACAGATCAAACTGTCAGCAAATTATTGGTTAAATTTCAGAGAGCATGAGGAAAATTACCCACTAAACAGGTATTCAGGGAATGTTGGGAGTTTGGTCATAACATAAGGAGTTTTGGATGGGAAGGAAATATTTAGGCACGTCAGTTGGGGATAAACAATATAGCATATTGTAAAACTGTAATTAAATCTAAAATTGCTCCATGGTTATTTGAAATGCCAATAGTACATTTAGAAACCAAATAAATAGCACAGACCTGTGGAGGTTTGTATGAAATTATTCAGCAGTATTAGAAATAATGTAAGAAAATGTGATACAAATGTATACAGATGCATCAAAAGAGGCAAATGGTAAAACAGAAATAGCAGTTTATATTCCGAAACAAAACGTTATTATAAAAAGAAGAACAACAGATAATTTATCGATTTTTTCAGAGGAATGATGGCAATTATTTTGGCCTTGCAATGGCTGCTGGAGGTGAAGCCTGGTAAGGCAGTTATATGCTCAGATTCAATATCTTGTTCAACCAGTATTACAAGTGGAAAATCTGATAGCCGTCAAGATCTTCTGGATGAAGTTAATTATTTGAAATATGGTACAAAGCAAAAACAAATAGCTGTTCAATTCACATGGGTTCCAGCACATAAAGGAATTGTAGGTAATGGAAAAAAATTGATAAATTGGCTGGAGAAGCAGTTAAGGAGAGAGAAATTTAATATAAAATCCCACTAAGTAGAACAGAAATTAAAGTAATTATTAAAGATAAAATAAATAACCTGCGACAGACTGGCGACCTGTCCAGGGTGACCCCGCCTCTTGCCCGGAACGCAGCTGGAGAGGAACCTGCACCTCCTGACCCTGTTAGGGAGAAAGGTGACCGGAAAATGGATGGATGGATGAAAATAAATAACATGTGGCAGGAGAGATGAAATTTAGAAGAAAGAGGAAGGAAATGACATTAAAATACAGAGGGAGGTAATTATGAATTACAATAGTATAATGAATAGGAGAGAGGAAGTATGGATTAACAGTTTGAGGACTGGGCATACTAGTTTAAATAGTGGTTTAAAAATAATAGGGAAACATCCATCAGGTGATTGTTCTTATTGCAGGGAAACAGAAGGTGTAGAACATGTTGATTTATTGTAGAAAATATATAACAGAGAGAAAAGAATTGGAAAGGGTGATGGGGAGGTCAGTAAATATGGATAATTTATTAGGAAAGCAGCAATCAAATGATATAATTCAAGTACTTATTAAATATTTTAGTTTTAGTTTGTATGTTTGTGTGAGTGTATAAGTATGTATATAATTTAGTTCTTTTAAGTTTTGAAGATAAATAAGAAAAATTAATTTCTGGATTACATCTCCGTCCAGTTGATGGCGGTAATGCACAAAGTTTGTAAACTGCCAGAAAACGCTACAGAAGAAAAGAAGAAGAAGAAGAAGAAGAAGAAGAAGAAGCAGAAGACTGTGACCATGTTATTTTGTTCAAAGTAAATTTCTACAACGAAGAGTTTGCCGTCCTGTCTTACGGTTCGTTGCCAAATAACCGTGAAGTTTTTTATTTTCCGTATCAGACGTTTGGTCGACAGGGTCGTCCTGTCGTAAATCTTCTACAGAATATATATGTTATGTATTTATATTATACTAATGCAAGGAAGCTAGAGAAGCCGTTAATGAATTTCAGAGGGGTGTAGGTTTGTAGAGGCGAGCAGCAGCATGTCGTTGTGATTGCTAAAACATTTCGGTTCTGTGGCAGATCATGAAGCTGCGGGTCCAGCTGCAGTGTAAGAACCTCCATGAATACTTAAGAGAACTGAATCCTGAGATACTGGACAGACTGTATAACCACCCAGCAACATGTCTGGCTGTCTACAGGTACGTACCACCCTGTGTTGGACTTGTATTCTGTATAGCCAGCCTGCAATGTTAAATTCAAGATTTTCTGTTTCCAGGGAGCTTCCCTCACTTGCTAAGAACTATGTGATGCGCATGTTGTTCCTGGACCAGCCTCTCCCCCAGGCAGCTGTGGCACTTTGGGTACAAAAAACTAGTCAGAGGTGAGCGAGTCCCTTATCTTACATTAGTAAAAGTGTTACCACACACAGAGCATCTCTATTCTTTGCAAACAAAGCTGACTCCATATTTATAATTCATAAAAAGATATACTGGGTTTTTTTTCACTGTTTGGGGTTAAAGTAGAATATATTATAACTGTTTTGGGTTGGTTAGGACCCAGTGTATTTCATATGCTCAGTGTCAGAAAAGTAAGGAAATTTGTTTTGAGAATACAGAACTAAACATACACCATCAAAATGCTTGTAGGATGATAACCATATTTAAAATTTTTGATCCAACACTGCTTGCTTGTGTAACATCCATCCATCCATTTTCTAATCACCCTTCTTTCTAACGGGTTGGGAGGTGCTGGTGCCTCTCCAGCTGCGTTCTGGGCGAGAGGCAGGGTTCACCCTGGACAGGTCACCAGTCTGTCGCAGGGCAACACAGAGACAAACAGGACAAACAACCATGCACACACACCTGGGGAGAATTTGGAAAGACCAATAAACCTGACGGTCATGTTTTTGGACTGTGGGAAGAAGCCGGAGAACCTGGAGAAAACCCACACACCACATGGAGAACATGCAAACTCCGTGCAGAAAGACCCTGGGCCGGGAATCGAACTCAGGACCTTCTTGCTGCAAGGCAACAGTGCTACCAACTGCTCCACTGTGCAGCCTCTTGTGTAACATAATAATAATAAAAAATCTTACTAATCAATCAAGAGCTCATGAAGAGAATTGTGGACCTCCACAAGTCTGCTTCATCCCACGTTGGGCACAAATTCTTAGAGATGCGATCTTCATCTGTTCAAAAAAGTACAATATGGGAGCATCCAGTTTTCATCATGGAGATTGGTTCTGTGTCCTGGAGATAAACATGCAAATCAGCCCCGTTCTTAACCCTCGTTGTGGTTATGAATTAAATTTAGCTTTCCAATTTGTTTGTATTTCTCCTTAATGAATGAAACCATCATGTGAAAACATTTTTTATTTATAGGTATTTCTTGTCCTTGTTGGTTGATCAGAAACATTCATGTGTAAAAATCACAAAAAAAATCTATGAAGCGGTAAATGCTTTTACACAACACTGTACCTGTTGGAGATAATTTTTTCCTACCTTTTCTCTACTTCCAAGAGTAAATTTTTTATATGAGCTTATCCATTAATGATTAGTCCAAAGTCATTGAAATGTATTAATGTTGTTTATTTTTATTCATATGTAAACAAATGGACAAGGTTAACTAAACATTGTGATTGTGGAAATAATAAGATGACTCTGGGAACCCGAAGCTTTTCTATCATGCTCTCAACAGAACGATTGTCTGATTGGATTTCTCACTGGTTCTAGTTGAACTGATTGTATTTATTGGTTATTGTTCCTGCAGGGATCATGATGACTGTGTTTCAGTGCTGACTGGTCTTCGCCTTTGGCACAGTCAGCACCTTCAAGGTGGGCTTCAAGGATACATTTTAAATCCAGTGTTCAAAGAAAACCTGGGAACAGCATTGCTTGGAGGGTATGTTTGCATTTGACAAAGCATCATTATTTTTATGGCCTCATTCATTCTTTGTACTCCAGACGTGGCCGAGGTTAATGTAGGCACATTTTCACTGCATCTACCAGGTTAGAAACTGATTTGTTATTTTAGAAATTTACACTAAAAATTACCCTGATTTACCTTGAACTGTACAGTGGAGATAGTCTTAAACATTTTGCATCAGTTCAATTTTCTAATCATTATGTTTCAGTCATCTTAGTTTAATCTCCACTGCAGGTCATATTCTCTGGTAGCATCTTTTACCTTATAAAAGAGGAAGCTGCTGTCATTCTGTGCCGTTGCCCGGTGTATTTGGAATGTTTTTACAACATGTTGCTGTATGGCACGATGGACCTCTCTTGGACCTCAAGTCAATCTTTAAATACATTATGTATTTGCGTGGAGAAAAACTCTGATTGTCATAAAGTTACCACCTTTTTTTTCCTCTCCAAAGTCTAAACATTTTAATAGATTTTTATAAGTCATGACCTTTTCATTTGAACACAGAGGACTTGCATTACAAGTTGCATATGACAAGTCTCATATGCTATTTCATCACAAAACCCTTTAGAAGTTAATCTCAGATTTATCAAGCTGTCATTTGACATTATGTTTTTGATTTCTTTTCTGCTGTTGGTTTAAAATTATGTAAAAATATAAAAACTTTCTTCATTGAGGTGAGAGTTTTACTTTGGCTCTCCAAACATTAAATAAAATACATTTGTACAATCACAATGTCAACAATTTGTACTCACAGAAAAAAAAGTTATGGCACAGGGGATGAATGGTTTCTTATAGCTGGTTTAGCTGCCATGAGGAACCTTACAGCACCTCACTGAGCTCAGAGCTTCAAACTGGCAAGCAAGAGAAGGGAACTGTCTGCTTTATTTTAAACTAGTTTTCATGTTCTTTATTTATTTATTGTTGATTAACTTCCACCGGGCTTGTTCCATCCAGAGGGGATGTTGGGACCAGCAGGATCTCCATGGATTAAGGAGAGAAGCACCGGTGTTGTGACTATTAACAATGTTAACAGAACCGAGGAGGATTGAGAGTTCTGACCGGCTCTGTTGACATTGGGGTGACGGCACCGGAATATAGAGCCAGACAGAGACCCAAAAACACATTTTCTTCCACAGATCATAATTCTGTCTATTCTTTGTTTTGACTGTTTATAAATGCCCTAAGCAGAGCTGTACCATTGATTTTGTTGTACTGCTTACTGTGCAATGACAATTAAGTGACCTTTACTTTACAGTAGATTGACAGGAAAATGGGTAATGAGAGAGAGAGATGCAGCAAAGGTCAAAGGCCAGGACTCGAACCTGTGACAAGGACTGGGGCCTCCATACTTGGGTCTACCCACTGCACCACTGCCACGTCTCTAATCTGATATAATTGAGGCCTTCTTTTGAAAATTTGCTCAATATGTACATTTTAAGTGTGCAAATGAATGATAATAAATTCTCACCCCAAGCCCATTCAGTTTTCTTAAGATTGAGTCTCTGAGCTTTTCTTTGAAATTTAATCAGCATTTTTAGCAAAGATAAGATGACAGTCCAGAAACAAGCTTTGATATTTTACATTTGCCACAGTTTCAGCTGATGAAACTGGCTCCACTTTAAACCTTTAACATGTTTATTTCTTTATCTGGGCTACATTAATATCTAGCTAGCTCTGACAGCACCATGTCATGGTGAGAGAGAAACAGATTCATCTATCGGCTTGATTTCTTTTGTGATCCAACCAATGCCATATTATGTAAAAAATAAAAAATAATCTCTTATTCTGCCAGAACTTGACTAGCTAATGCTATGGGCTTCAAAATATTAGAATTTTTCTGCTCTGTTAAATGACGCGATGGTGTTCTGCTCCACAGAGGTGCACAGTGGGCAGACGAGGGGAGCAGCCTGGGGCCTGATCGCCATGCACGCGACGTTGAGAGCCTGGACCGCTATGCTATGGAACGCTGGGAAGTGATCCTGCAGTTCATGGTGGGTTCACCTAGTGCTGTTAGTCAAGACCTGGCTCAGCTCTTGATTCAAGCCGGCCTCATGAGAAGGTACAGACAAATCCAGCTCACTCGATGCTTTACCAAGTATGTACATATAAAGAAAAATACCTCAGTTAATTGTAAATCAGATGGTAACCAGTTTAATTTCACAATTAAGAATTTCTGCAGAATTTTTGTTATTGCCGTATTGCCTGTTCAAGTTTCACTGGAAGATGTCAATATGATATAATTGCATTTACTATATTTGCTTTGCAATTTTCATAAGCAGTGATAAGAAAACAGTCAAAAGTATCAGAAGGGGTCTTTTGTTCCCACAAACAGGCCAGAATACTGAAAGTACTGAAAGCATGGGTGTCACTTCAACATCTAAAGAAACTAGTAGAAGAGATTTCTAATTTGAACTTATTGTAAAAATGACTGCCAGGACCACTTCCAGGGAGTGCTGAAGATGAGTGGCTGTTAAGTTTTACATATCTTATCTCCACTACACTACTGGACATTTAACTGGATTAAAGAATGGTCAAGATGAAGAACTGTTTCTCATCTTTGCTCTCTCATTTTTTTTCAATATAAGTGAGGCAGGGGAAGCACCGTACATCACTTCCGCTGGTTTCCAGTTCCTCCTTCTGGACACAGCCTCTCAGCTTTGGTATTTCACGTTGCAGTACCTCAAAACTGCTCAGGTAACAGTAAACTTGGAACTGGATAGTAGAAGTGTCAAATGTTTAGTATTCAAGTTATAGTTATAGTCATGTTGTACTCTACTCTGAGGGATTTCTAACCATAACCATTGGAAAGTAAAGTTCCAAATGTATTTTTATTGTATTACATTACTGTCTTATTTACTTTCATCCAAGTTCAAATCCATAAGTCGGAAAATGCAACATGCTCTGTCCTGTAAGAAAAATCTGAAGTAATAAAAAAAAATAGTAGAATTTGCCAAGTCCTTCAACTATTTTAGTTTTACTGCAAAAACAATTTGGATAATTCTCTTTTTCTCTTCTATATGAACGTACATTTTTGCTGTTTTCTGGTTTTTGCCTTGCAGTCTAGAGGGATGGATCTTGTGGAGATCTTATCCTTCTTGTTCCAGCTCAGTTTTTCTACTTTGGGGCGAGTGAGTGCAAACATTTTTGCTTGGATTCTCATGTTTAGTGTCTTATTATTAAAACAACTGTTTGTTGGCCCTCAGCACCATAGGGCCCAGTAAGCCCTAGTAGTAGCAGCTGTAGAGGCATTAATCAAACTCAGCGTCCAGCTGAATCTGACACACTCTGATGGGCTTCCCTGTGGCCTGGTATTTCCAGACTGATTTTTGTCTTTCTTGTTATTCATCATGTATTGCTGGTGCTTCAGGATTACTCAGTGGAGGGCATGAGTGAGTCATTGCTAACTTTCCTGCAGCACCTTCGGGAGTTTGGACTGGTGTTTCAGAGGAAGGTGAGATCTCTTTATTCACAAACTCTTTGGTTTCTTTTTTCAGTTTAACCCATTGATGCAAAAGGAAATGAAATTAGCAGATGAAGTGTCCTTGTTTTAATTAACTGCATGATTATCATATTTACAAATTACATATTGTCATAAATGTAATGATCATTTTCTGTATTCATAAGGAGGAGTTGGTAGAGTTTGCTTAAAAAGTTTTCAGGTGACGTGAAAGAAAAGAAAAAAGTGGAATCTGTTTGTCGTAGTGTAAAAAATATTTTTAGAATATAATTCCTCCACCATGTGTACTCAGAGGAAGTCCCGGCGGTACTATCCCACCAGACTGGCAATTACTTTGGCTGCTGGAGTAACTACCAGCTCTGCCTCTACCTCCTCCACCAACATTACTTCCGTTCCTGGAACTAAAGATGCTGGCTTCATTGTTGTGGAAACCAATTATCGTCTCTACGCCTACACAGGTATGACTGAACCAAATTTGTATAGGATGGTTGGTTAAAAAAGGCCACCTCATTCCAGAATTTTTTTTCTTCTTCTTTTGTTTTATAATGTACTGGCATATGCAGCAATCAATTCAGTTTATTTATATAGTAGCAGTTCATAACGTTATGAATTGGTGCTGCTGCCACTTTACAAAGAATCATTTAAATTCAACATTACTTATATTCAAACTGATTATAAACAGTCACACATTCTGAAGTGAATAAAGGTGTGGACTTTCTGTTGAGTTCATGTTCCATGTTAAAGGCAAAATCCAATTCATTCACCCAACTGTTTTTTTAGCCTGATACATTTTTATAAAAGAAAACTTTTTTCTTACTTCTGAACTGAACATATTGAAGATGCCACACCACTGATGTGGAAGCAATAGGTCCAGACCTTTAGTGACACAGCTGCTTTTTTTTTCAGGTGACAAAACTTCATTCATCCCTACAGAATATATTCTCACTTGCTTTTATTTTTCAGATTCAGAACTTCAGATTGCCCTGGTGGCTCTTTTCAGTGAAATGTTGTATCGCTTTCCCAACGTGGTGGTCGCTCAGCTTACCAGAGAATCCGTCCAGCAGGCCATCGCCAATGGAATTACCGCTCAGCAGGTGTGTGGACTGTCAGGCTGACCTGCACAGTAAGGACACAGGGAGGGAAATGAAACAGAAGAGATGCAAAACCAAAGCAAAAGCCCTTCAGTGCTCCATATTCTCACCTCTTTTACTTATTACTTGCCAGTTGTTCTCCAGAGAGTAAGGTCATTTTATTTAAGTAGCACATTTTCAGCAACAAAGCAGTTCATAGCACTTGTTTTATTGGCATAATCTGGTAATGCATCCACTAATAGTTTGAATTCTATTCCGTTTTTAATGTACTAATAAAGTAAATAAATAGGAAATAAAATATAGTGTTGCATATTAAATATGTACTTAATAATGGTTTAAAACATTTTTTAAAATGGTATTTAGAAATTTCCTACATATTACTGGGCTATCAATAGAGCTACACACAGATTGTTACAAAACCCTGATGATTTTTAATTAGTAGATAACTTAAGATTATCATAATCCACAACACATAGAGGCTGCACTAAACAAAAGATGCCGAGGTTTCTTAACCATCCTGCCCACCGTGTGGTTCGCTGTCTGCACTGATGAAGTTCATGGACGTGTTCCGCAGTCAGGCAGTGCGTTTGTCGACCAGTGGTTCAGCCTGTGGAGGAGCTTTTGTGTTCGCCTTGTAGTCATGCAGCAACATGGTTTTATATTTTTTTTCTTGTTATTTTTATTATTATTGTGGCGACACGATGCATAAAACTGTGCTATGTCAAATGCTAGCCACATTTGACATAGCACAGATCAGAAAACTTGTCCCATAGAGTTCAGGCAACCAAAACGATCTCTTTAAAAATTCAATGGACACAAAATGGAAGAAAAGCTGCAAAAATTAAATTAAAACTTAATTTTATTTAAAAATTAAATCTAAATCAAATTTAGCAGCATTGGTATCTTCAATAAACAAATGTCAAATTTCGATATCTGTGTTAAAATATTACCATTTCTGGGGCGCCTGAAGGTCTGGGAGCTTTAAGAATCTGCTCACTCAAGTTGAATTTAACAGAAGTACAAATAATTTATATTTTTTAATAGTACTTTTTTGATTTTCTGTTTTTAAGACTGTAGTTGTGGGTTTAAATAGTATTTCACTGGTGATGGTAGTATTTTACATTTCTTGTCAACTTAACATCTTATGATACAAAAACACAATGGGGCAGCCAGTGGACCGCCACGGCGCCCCAACCACCGGGTTTAACAAGTTTTCTGGGGGAAAACCTGCTTAGAAAATTGTGATTTCTTTCATTTCTATTTTTAATAAATTTTCAAAATATCAGAATATTTTTTCACACTAGAGGGGCATTTTTCTATTTTTCATAATTGCATATTGTGAAATATGTGATTAAATATTTTTAGTTTTTATAAATTTTGTACCATGTTATTTGAACATTGTGTTTATTAGATCATCCACTTTCTAAGGACCAGAGCTCACCCTGTCCTGCTCACACAGGTATTGTTGGCTCACTTTTAAAGAAAGAAATGATGACCTGCTGACATTTTAAGGCACCACATAGGCCTTTTATTTTGCATACATGCATTTTAGACCCCAGCGCTGCCTCCAACTATAACAGACCAGATCAGACTGTGGGAGCTTGAGAGAGATCGGCTGCAATTCACAGAGGGTGAGTGTGAGACCTGTCTGAGCCC